AGATCAGAGATTAACGTCGAAAAGCAACCGCGGGCGTCCAACCTCTGAAACCCAAACCTGATACCAGCCTGTTGGGAAGAGTTTGATGTTCCATCCCAGAAAAGAGGATTTATTTCATTTAGAGCGTGAGCTTGAAGATGAAGGCGTCCAACCTCTGAAACCCAAACCTGACACCAGCCTGTTGGGAAGAGTCTGATGTTTCATCCCAGAAACGAGGATTTATTTCATTTAGAGCGTGAGCTTGAAGATGAAGCACAAGGTTGGGATGCACAAAGCTGAGTTCAACCTGTTCTCAGACACCCAAGGTTGAGCTCAACCTGCTCTCAGACACCCAAGGTTGAGCTCAAGCTGCCCTCAGACATCCAAGGTTGAGCTCAACCTGCTCTGAGATACCCCAGGTTGAGCTCAAGCTGCTATCAGAGACGCTCTCGGATACCCAAGGTTGAGCTCAACCTGCTCTCGGATACCCAAGGTTGAGCTCAACCTGCTCTCGGATACCCAAGGTTGAGCTCAACCTGCTCTCGGATACCCAAGGTTGAGCTCAACCTGCTCTCGGATACCCAAGGTTGAGCTCAACCTGCTCTCGGATACCCAAGGTTGAGCTCAACCTGCTCTCGGATACCCAAGGTTGAGCTCAACCTGCTCTCGGATACCCAAGGTTGAGCTCAACCTGCTCTCGGATACCCAAGGTTGAGCTCAAGCTGCTCTCAGAGACCCAAGGTTGAGCTCAACCTGCTCTCAGATACCCAAGGTTGAGCTCAACCTGCTCTCAGACACCCAAATCTGAGCTCAACCTGCTCTCAGATACCTAAATCTGAGCTCAACCTGCTCTCGGATACCCAAGGCTGAGCTCAACCCGCCCTCAGATACCCAAGGTTGAGCTCAACCTGCTCTCGGATACCCAAGGTTGAGCTCAACCTGCTCTGAGATACCCAAGGTTGAGCTCAACCTGCTCTGAGATACTCAAGGTTGAGCTCAAGCTGCCCTCAGACATCCAAGGTTGAGCTCAAGCTGCTCTCAGATACCCAAGCTGAACCTTGGGTGTCTAGAGCTAAATAAGTCAAGAAGCCCTTTTCCTTTGGGTTAAACATCAAATGCCTCCCCATTGAGTCAGCAGCTCAGAAGCATTTCAGATTCGGTTTCTGGCATCGTACTTCTTCATTTAAAACTTACAGCTCCTCCCAAAATAACAAAGGGAGGAAAAATTAAGATGTTTTAGAGGATTTGAGCTCCAACCAAGCAAATCCATGGTGGGTTTTTAAATTAAGCTGAACCTGACGCTGAGCAACGCCGCCGGTTTGCCTCAGGTCAGCCCCAGCAATGGTGTTACTCATCAAAAATCTTGTGAGGAATTAATTATCCAAAGGGAAATTACAAAAAATAAATAATCAAAGGATTATGGGATGGAAGAGGGAGAAGCTGACCTGGAGGTGCTGCTGTTGCTGTTGCTTTTCTTGGCTTTCTTGGGTGGCGGTTCCTTGGCTTTGCTCTTCTTGGCATCTTCCAGCTCTTCCTTCTTTTTGTGCTTCTCCTTCTTCTTCTCCTTCTTGTCTTTCTCTTTTTTCTTTGGTTTGTTCTGTTGAGGCTGGGAGAGGGCGGCGAGTTGTTCGTGCACCGCTTTCAGCTGAGATTAAAAGCCAAAAATTGGGATACGTTGGCTCAGCAACTCCTCCTCTTCCAGATTCATTAAATATTTGCTCTCCTACACTTTCTTATCTTTTACTATTAATTAATTAATTAACTTGATTCACCCGGTTTTCCATCTCACCATAATTTTTCAATATTAAAGCGTTGACCACAGGCAAGAGGAAGGAGACAACCTCCTCCTCCTCCTCCTCTTCCAGATTCATTAAATATTTTCTCTACTACTCTTTCTTATCTTTTACTATTAATTAACTAATTAACTCCATTTGCCCAGTTTTCCATCTCATTGTAGTTTTTCAATATTAAAGCGTTGACCACAGGCAAGAGGAAGGAGACAACCTCCTCCTCCTCCTCCTCTTCCAGATTCATTAAATATTCTCTCCACTACTCCCTCTTATCTTTTACAATTAATTAATTAACTTGGTTCTCCCAGTTTTCCATCGCCCTGTGATTTTTTGATATTAAATCACCGACCGCAGCGTGAGGAAGGAGACAACCTCTTCGTGGGTATTTCTCCAAGGCAGTAGCGGGCTGCTGGCTCTGTCAGTGCTAATGATGCTTTAATTACCAGCGCTAACGATGCCGTGAATGGGGAAAATGAGGTAGATAAGGCTGCGGGTTGGAGCGCAGCTCGTTAGCGCACGGGTTGTCCCTACGGCGGGTAAATCCTTGCTCCAGCCCATGAGTTCAGGCAGCTGTGGGGTGTCCTGCCTGGTGGGCAAGTCCTGCCTGGTGGGCAAGTCCTGCTTGCTCAAAAGCGTCCTACCTGCTCAAGAAAGTCCTGCCTCCTCAATAAGGTCCTACCTGCTCAATAAGGTCCTACCCGCTCAGGAAGGTCCTACCTGCTCAGAGCATCCCGACAGCTCAAGAAAGTTCTGCTCAGAGAAGTCTTCCCTCCTCAGAAAAGTCCTCCCTGCTCAGAAACTTCTTGCCTGCTCAGGAGTGTCCTGCCTACTCAGAAAATTCCTGCCTGCTCAGAAAAGTCACGGAGTCACAGAATCATAGTGTCTGGAAAAGACCTTTAAGATGACCAAATCCAACCATAAACCCAACACTGCCAATTCCACCTCTATAAACCATGTCTCTCAGCACCTCCTCTGCCCACCTTTTTAATCCCACCAGGGGAGGTGACTCCACCACTTCCCTGTGCAGCCTGTTCCAACTCGTGACCACGCTTTTGGTGAAGAAATTGCTCTTCAGATCCAATCTAAACCTCCCCTGGTGCAACCTGAGGCCATTTCCTCTCGTTCTATCAAGTCCTGCCTGCTCAGAAGACACCACCCAAGTGCAGGCAGCCAACTCCTGCCATTGGAGACCAAGTGGTGTGACCTGGAATGATTGTCCTGAAAAGCACAGACTCCTCCAGAAACTAAAGATTCTGGAGCACATTGCAGCTGATGGTCACTACTGTCCAACTAGACAGGCTATGGCTTTGAGCAAAGTCCTCAAGGCCACCAAGTTCCGGAAGGAGAGGTTGGACAACCCCAGTACACCCTGATGGAGGCGGTACCTGTTCCTGGAGCTCCGCTAACCGCTGAGCTCGCTCTTCCTCGGAGTCATCCGACGAGCTGTCGCTGTCCGAAGAGCTATCGCTGCTGCTGTCGCTAGACGAAGGAGGAGCCACCTTGGTGGGAGGTGGCACCACCACGGGAGAAGAAGCTGGAATCACAGGTTCTTCTGGTTCATCCGGCATCTTGGCGAAGCGCATCTCAAACACGTCCTGAAAATACAAGGAAAAATAACACGAGGTTGGGCAAAGTTGGGCAAAGTCTGATACTACAAGCGTGGCTGAGATCTCCAGGGTGCTCCCGACCCAAGGGGTCTCCACCCAGGCAATTAACATGCCATGTGTTGCAGATAAGATAAAAATAAAATAATTCCACATCCATGTGGAATTCTGACCATCTCCAAGATGGTTTTGGGGGAAAAATTTACCGGCAAGAAGGACAAGACTAATTTAAAAGCCGCATCCTCCAGGTTCTTGAGATCTTCTACTTCTTCGGCAATGGATTCGTGGTTGCAATCTCCTCTCCTCTTCAGCCTCCATTTTCCCAACCCATGTCCCATGAAAACCACCAAATGCTCACACAAGGACGTTTCCCAGTATCCTCAAGAGGGATGGGTGCGAAACCAGTTTAATTCCAGTTATCCCAGCGACCTGAGCGACCCAGCGACGTTTCCCATTATCCTCAAGAGGGACGGGTACGAAACCAGTTTAATTCCAGTTATCCCAGCGATCTGAGAGTCATTTTTTCTCCTTTTTAAAATGAAAATCCATGTTCATTTAAACCCAAGACCAGGCAGATAACGTGTGACACCCTGGTTGAGTTTTGGTTTTACTTCTTGGTGCCCGTTGACTTCATTTAATGAAGGGTTTTGAGTGTGATTTAGTTTCCCAGAAGAGCAACAAGCGCCACTTGCACCCAAAAGCCCCATTTTTTCCCCCGCCAAGATGCCACCTTGTGAAGAGCAAACCACTTGCAGGCAAAAAACGCTAATTTTTTGCGAGGCAAGACCTGAAAACGGGCTCAATTCACCTGCTTTGAGGTGTTTAGCAGTCAGGGGTTGATTTCTGAGCTTAGCGACTTGCTCCAGACTCTTTTCATTGCCCGTCAGGAGATCGGCAGCTCCCAGGAGATGACTCAAGCAATGGTGGGAAGGACAACGCGAAGGCAGCACCAGTATCGGTGTCCACCTCTTCAATACAGACCCAGAACACAATCAAAGGACAATTTCTCCTCTTGCCCCAAGGTTTGACTTTCAGTCGACACTGACTCTTTAGTTTTCCTATTTTCCAAGTCCTGGGTTCATCGTTGCGACCACAAACCCACCAGAGTCCACGATTTATTTCCCAAACCCAACGACTGTAAATATCAACCGCGTGCACGGCGATAGAATTTATACAGCTTATCCAAAATCCCTGACATCAAATTGTGTTGATTTAACTCAACACTCGGGCGTGGGAGCGACGTTTTCCCTTCCGAAGGCTTCCAGCTCTTCCAGTTGAGGTTCATCCTTGTGACTTCAAGGACCTGCTGGCTGCTCCTCTATGTTGACATACATTATTTTTCCACTTCTCTGCTTAAATGTGAGCAGGGGGAGCGCTTCCGGACCGCGTTTCTCCATCCTCAGCCTCCTCGTGTCTCTATTTAGGGTTTTGTTTTCAAAATTTCAGGGGAATTCAGGAAAATTTCAAGGGAATTCAGGAAAATTTCAGAGGAATTCAAGGAAAATTTCAGAGGAATTCAGGAAAATTTCAGGGGAATTCAGGAAAATTTCAGAAGAATTCAGGAAAATTTCAAGAAACACTGTAGGAAAAGGAGAAATTTCCAAGTTCTTCCAACGACGGCATCACTTTCTGGCATCACTTTCAGGACAACGGAGGTGCACACATTTATTTGCCACTGATTCACTGCACTTAATGAGTGTTTATGACCTAATTAAGATTATTCATGAACCAGTAATTCCAGTTCTTGATTATCACCGGCAGGCAATGCTACACCACCACATCTACTCCATTTCTAAATTCTTTAGGCTCAGAAATAAAGTTTTCCTCCATGTTTTTATAGGTACCAAGTCTTTTAAATTACCAGAAAGGTGAATTTGAAGTTCCTTTGCGTGAAATTAAAAAGCAATTCATCGATTTGGTGGATTGATTCATCAATTTGGTTGATAACCCAGTTTAGGAGAAGCTCTCAGTGGCTGAAGGACCTGCAGGAATCCACCCAGGAATGGATGGGGAAAAAAAAACTCTGGGAGAAGATAATGAGCTAATTAACACCTTTTTAATCAGTGATTCTTGCTGCGATTGTTTTGTAAATCACCGGTACTGTTGCTCCATTGTAAATTTATTCCATGAGCTGGAGTTAAACCTGAAAATCCAAGAAATCACCATTTTCTGATGGTGATGTGGTAAGAAAAAGGAAAAAAAAGAGTTTTTTCAGAGGTTGATGTTTCTGGGACGGAGCCTCCGGGAGCATCTCCCCAGCAAGACGCTGTGTACACGGTTTACGAAGAACTCGAGTCCAAACCTGAATCCTCAGCCTTGTTTCCAAACTTCAGCAGCACTTCAAAAACTTCTTTTTTATTAAAAAAAAAAAAAATTAAAAAATTCTGAAATAATTTTTCTCAGCATGGGAAAAGCAAAGGCAGAGGTGCCACCTTCATCTCAACCAGGTGGGGAGGGTATTTTGGCCCCCACCTCCGTCACGTCGCCGCTATGGGGCCACTCTGGAATTTAACATCCATTTTCTGGGGACTGTTACATTCCAAAAAATCCACTTTTTTCTTCTTCATGCCAGAAATGAAGTTTTCCAAGTGGTTTCTCCATGCAGGGCCGTGTTCCCAAGCCTGCCTGTGGGACTGATACCGATAAAATCCTGATTTCATACAGCCCGGGGTCCACATGGCACCACCTGGCAACGCCAATTCGCTGAGGATTTTCCTCCATAAAATGAGGGGAAAAAAAAAAAGAGAAAAATCACAAGTTTCTGTGAAGTTCTTCAGCCTGTGACATGAGTGACTGGAATTTCTGATCAGATTCATCCTGCTGCTGGTTGGAAAATGCTCCGAGACGTCGGATGTTCTTCATTAAACCAAAACAAGAAGGGAAGAGGAGCCACAAGGTGAGCATCGTGTTTTCCAGGTGTCTACTTACCACAAAATCCAGAAAAAACAGGAATAAGATGTTAAATTTTACTCAGTTCATGCTAACAGCAAGGTAAACAAACATCTACTCAATATCTATTTCTCTCAAATTAAACCAGACCAAAGCTGAGCTTGATTTTTCTAAAAGCATCACAAAAAACCACAAGTGCCTAAAAACTGAGGACGCGTTCAGGACGCGCGCTGGGTTGGGTTGAAGGACGCGCGTTGGGTTGGGGTTGGGTTGGAGGATGCACTGGGTTGGGGTTGGGTTGGAGGATGCACTGGGTTGGGGCTGGGTTGGAGGACGCACTGGGTTGGGGC